CCCTTTGCACTCCCAATCTCCCCAGTTGAGAAACAGCATAATCCCCTGAAACTACTATGATAAGCCCTGAAGTACTTAAACTCTTTGGTTTTCAGGGAGGAAAGCACCTAAATTCAACTGACAGAGTTTGAGCAGAGTTCTCAATGAGGAAGGAAAATTAAAGGGACCTTGAGCCAACTCAAGATACTATGATGTTTGTACACAGTCCCCTGCCCACACATATAAATGTATAATGAAATTGATGTGTTACATGCTTGTATTGTAAAACTCATAGTCACCAGAGGAGAATCTCCCATTCAGGGATGCCTTGACCCCTCCCAGGTGGTCTAATAGGAACAGAAGAATCCCAGGGAGAAAAAGGGAAGGTCACAGCCGACCTCCAGAGAAGCCATTGCTCAGTACAGCAACACCATCTGCTGGACACAGGCACCAAATACACCCTGCACTGCTTTGCTAAGGCTGCCATAACAAAGGACCACAAATCTGGGCTAAGCACAGATATTTATTGTCTCGGTTCTGGAGGATAGAAATCCAAAATCAAGGTGCCTACAGTGTTGATTCCTTGCTAAGGCTATGAGAGAAGTCTCTGTTCCAGGTCTTTTTCCTTGGCTTACAGATGGCCAACATCATATTCAGATTTCACTCATCCTATATGCATGTCTGTGTCCAAATTTCCTCTTCTTATAAGGCCACTAGTCATATTGAATTAGGGTCCACCCTAGTGACCTCATTTTAACTTGATTACCTCTGTAAAGACCATATCTCAGTAGAGTCACATTCTGAGACACCAGGAGTTAGAACTTCAACATGTGAATTTTGGGCAGAGAGACACAATTCAACCCACCACACACCAAAAAGGAGAAGCAATTGTTGGTCTGCTGTGGAGCTCTTGTTAAAGATAAACACTAATTTGTGGAGGCCTTCTGACTCTCAGGACTGACATCCCCATGTTGGTGTGGGTCAGCTAGGACACAGCAACTCTAAGGAAAGGGCCCATTTCCTGGTCAAATGGAAATGATGTGTTTGAGGATATGGCTGGCCTGCCTCTAGTATTGTCTCACTTTTTGCATTAAGGAGCACGGGTTTAGTATCCCTTATCTGAAATTCTTGGGACCAGAACTGTTTCAGCCTTCAGATTTTTTTTTTCCAGATTTTGGAATATTTGCAGAATACATACAGGTCAAGCATCCCAAATCCAAAAATCTGAAATCCAAAATGCTCCAATGAGCACTTCCTTTGAGGGTCATATCAGCACTCAAAAAGTTTTGGATTTTGGAATATTTCAGATTTCACAGTTTTGCATTTGGGATGTTCAATCTGTAGTAGCTACCTCTTTGGGGAAAACTTTACCTCCTTCTCTTCCACCTGAAACAAAGCTACTGGCTCAGCATGGCCCTGGATTCACAGAGATTCTCCTAAATGCCTGGGCCTGGTTTGCCTTTGGTTCAGCTAAGCTGAAAACTGACGGTGCTGATAGTGCTACTGCTGCTGTTTGACCTCAGCATCAGCTATATAAAACCTAACTGCTGGGATGGGTGGGCAGAACTCAAAGCTCTTCTCAGAGCTCTGCTCAATCAGGCCGAGGGACAGATTGTTCAGAGGGGCAATCCACAGTGGGCCCTGAATGTCCCTGCACATTCTTGCTGGGCAGGTCAAGAATAGAAGGCTCATTACTCAAGTCATTTCTCTGGGTTGTGTTTCAGTGACCAGCCTTGAAGAATGAGATAAAGTAGCTTCCACCCATCTTCCCCTCCACCCCTTGCTCATGGCTTACTATAAAAGCAGTTGATTCCCCAAGCTCAATGTTCCTCATATGTGACACAAATCCACTGAGTGCACAGCACTTGTGTAAGCCCATGCTCATCTTTTTCACCTCTGTGAGTCTTGGAGGTCATGGAGAATTGACACCAATATCATGCTGATGCTGCTTGCTGTGCTGTGAGTAATAAAGTCCTCTGTTTCTGACATAGTTGTCTCCGGTCTTCTGCAACAGGCTAACTTGTTAGCTTGCAAGTAGGGTAAAATCTCAGAACCTGTACAGACTTCATGGGGACTGACATAAGAGTAAAGCCTTATAGTTTACAGAAGTCTTTGACAGGATGCTCTAAGCATCTGACACACTTGGCTGATTCACATACCTAATATCTGGTCTCCTCTAGTCATGACAGTCTGTTACAATAATTCAGTTGCCCATTCTCCCAATTGTTTCATGAGACACTCTTGTCAATCTTAAATAGCAATAATAACAGCAACAACTAATCCTTACAGAGTGAGAGATTTTTCTAAAGATATGAGGCATTGTTCTATACACTATATGTCATCTTTACCCCTAAAAACATCCCTCTGAAGGGGATATTAATACCTCTAGTGTACTGGTCAGGAGACTGAGGCATAAGTCATATAGTTAGTCAAGGGTGGAGCTGGGATTCAAATCCAGGCAGTCTGGTTTTGGTCCTCATTTGTAATCATTAGCTCTACTACCTTGCCGTAGGACCCTCTACTCACAGGGCCATAATGGACCACAGAGGTCTAAAGATCTTTGTCTGAAATCTTAGGAAAATAGTTCAGGTCAAACTTTTAACACTTGATTTTGACTTCCGACATTGTAAAATACTTTTTGACAATCTGTAGTAGGCAATTAGACCCTCTTCTACTGTGCTTGGATCTTTTCTATCCAGCCACTGTATAAATCCAGCGTCAGGTTTTCATACTCCCTATTACTTCCTTATTGCTGCTGTAACAAATTACCATGAACTTTGGGCTGGCCAGTTAGTTCAGCTGGTTAGAGTGTGGTGCTGATAACACCAGGGTCCAGGATTTGGTCCCTGTACTGGCCAGCTGCCAAAAAAAATTATAATGAACTTAGTAACTTAAAAGAACATGAATCTAATATCTAACAGTTCAAGTTTTCACACTCCCTATTACTTTCTTATTGCTGCTGTAACAAATTACCATGAACTTCGGGCTGGCCAGCTAGTTCAGTTGGTTAGAACATGGTGCTGATAACACCAGGGTCCAAGGTTTGATATCTGACTGGCCAGCTGCCAAAAAAAAAAAAAAAAATTATTGTGAACTTAGTAACTTAAAAGATGAATCTAATATCTAACAGTTCTGAGGTCAGAAGTCCTAAATGTGCTGGTGGCAGGATGGTGTTCCTCTGGAAGTTCTACAGGAGAATCTGTTTCCTTCCCTTTTCCAGCTTCTAAAGGCTGCCTGAATTCCTTGGCTCATGACCCTTACTCCATCTTCAAAGCCAGCAGTGTAGCATCTTCAAATCTCTCTCTCTCTTACTCTGACTCTTGCTTCCCTTTTTCCCTTATAAAGACCCTTGAGATTATAATGGTCCTATTTGGATAATCCAGGATAACCTCCCCATCTCGAACTCCTTAAATAAACACACTGAAAAGTCCCTTTTGCCATGTAAGGTAACACATTCACAGGCCCCAGGGATTAGGATATGGATATCTTTAAGGGTCCATTATTCTGTCTGCCGTACACAGTAAGCAGTTATCTCCTCCTGCACTATGGAAAATTTTATACAAGTATCTGGATTGGAGATTCAAGCAAGCCTATTGACCAGATAATTAGTAGTCCACTTCATCTTGGCTTTGAGGAGAGAGCCCCAAGAGCATTTTATCTTTGGGGGTCAAAGAGAATATATTGCTGGAGCACATGTGGTAGGAATGTTAGCCATTGCAACATAATAGCTTAATTATTTTAAAACATACCTGAACTCGAGCATTCATAAGCATAAGCTCTTGTTGCTTTTTCATGCTTTCATTCATAGATTTTGAAAATATGAACCCCATCTTGACCTAAAGTGTAAAAAAGCAAAGAGACATAAAACAATATACTACAAGCATCCTTGTATGCTCTGCTTTTGGCAATCCTGAGCTTATAACAAAATAAAAAAAGAAAATTTTCTAACTTAGGAACATAGTGTGAATTCTAGTCTTTGCTCCTAACTAGCTGTCAGACCTCAGGTATACTTAATCAGCCTGGCCATCATTTACTTACCTAAGACCAGCTGATTGAACCAGATGGCTCCTGAAATCTTTCCAGGTTATGTAAGTATATTACTCCACTTTTTCTGATTTTTCTTCCCACTATAAATCTCAAAGAACTGAATACTTAAAAGAAAAAAAAATGTCCTTTTTTGGGAGGGGTAGGTTGGATACCATTCATCCTCTTACCTTCTGTACAGTGGAACAACAGAATTTTTGCATCTGAGAAGAACAGATTTCTCTGTGCTCCTTGCATTTGTGTTTTAAGAAGATTGTGATGTCTCAAGATCAGGTCAGTATACCAATATTCTTCCTGCAGTCTCACCACATTCCCTGCCCCTCTCCTACATGCCCTTTATTTCTATCCACCCACTGCCAACATTCCTTAGCCATCCTCCTCCAGCTTCTCTTTGCTCTCTCCAAGCTAGTACTGAAGTTCACAAAGGAGAAAAAACATACGGATTCTTAAATGTCCTGGGAGATGCACTTTTGAAATGAATACCTGGTATTGTTCATCTTATCACACCTAAGAAGTTCTTAAGTGGGCTGTCAACTCAAAGTGTGCCAGAACTCCAATTTTAGTTCTTAATCCCATTGGGTAAGTACAGAAAACCTTCAGCTCGTTATTGATTTTACTTCCAGAAGACTGAAAAATTCAGGGGAAACGTACAACTGCTCTACCCTCTTCAGCAATGTTCCTATACATCTCCTCTTTAATAGGCTGTTGAGTAGGGTTGTGGAACCTCAGGTCAGAGTGGCCAGTCTTATGCTTTATAGCCAGGATTCACAAGTCTTCCGTGCGAAGCCCAAACAGAGCTCCTACTTTCTATATCCTCACCAAGAAATCCTGGGTTCTGGCTAACTGAGGCAAAGATGGGGGAGAGAGGGGATATTTCATGTCAGGTGGAATGAGTTTCCTCTGCTAATGGGGCTCCAGGTGAGTGGGAGCTGCAAGCCAGACTTCAGTGACTTCCCTGTACTCTGGCCAAAGACACCATGGAGCTACAGAGGCCTCTGAGTCAGGGTCAGCTTCAAAGTTGGGCACAGGAGACCAAACCACCTACTGGTGAGTAAAGACACCACCCTAAATGGGCCTGGGAGATCGTGCAATTCTCCTCCCCCTCTGTCACTGTCCCACTCCAGCATCCTGTGACCAGAGTTAGAGGCCACTCACTGAGAGCCAGGAGATCTAGCAGTTCTCTCTTTTCTCCAGATTTTGACAACTCCATGTGAATGTCTCCAACGGCATACCAGAACTTGTCTAAAGGCAGAAACAATATATCATCTATTTTGACAGTGTCTGTGGTGTCTGCTTCCCATAAATGTTGGCACAAAGAACAAGTGATACAAGAAAAACTGGCTCAGGCCACTTGCCATTCCTTATTTTTTCTTCTGCCACATGCAAATGAATAATTGAATTTTTTATATCTGCCACAAACACTTAAAAAGAAAACAAGTGTCCTCTAGTCTCATTCTTCCAGGCCCACACCCTATGTGCCACACACAGAGCTGTTTCACTTAGAGTGCTCTTGTTTGTGAGAAGATGGGATCTCCCCTGAAGTAAAGGGACAGTCCTCATGTCAATCACCTGGGGAAGAGGAACTACCTGGACAGTTAGGATTTAGACTTACCTTTTTCTGGGCCTTGCTCTCTTGGGGTTGGACCTGTAGTTCGGATGCGTTAGGGGACACTCCCAGCTGGAAAGGTTAAAGCAGGAAGAAGAGCTTCCCTGGAGGAACCACACCTGAAAATGAGCACACCACACCTTGTGAACTTCACCTGGAATTTCAGTATTTTCAACTTCTTCTTCTTCCCAACTTCTACCAAAGCCACCCAAAGTCTGGGAATACTCCTTAGGGTGTCCAGAATACTCTGAGCTTTCTCTCTCCTGCTCACAAAGTATATATCTGAAAATAAATACAAGTGACCTTGCAATAGGGATATTTTTGACTTCACTCATTTGTATAAGGTCTTTTAAAAATTTTAACGACTTATCATGGGTAACAAATTTCTTGGTACTTATACAGCTTAGACATCAGTGTGACTCATAGGGCTGAGAATGGGCCTCTTCTCTCTTCATTTTTCCTTTGAAAATGAAAAATTTCAAGACCTTGGAAGGGGCCTTTAATGCCCTAGCCCTGCCTCACTTGTGCTACAGATCACTATAGGAAGGTGTTATTTGAGCGGAGGAAAGTTGGGGCCGCAAGTTCCAAGCAACCTTTCTCTGGTTACACCCTGGGAACCTGGATTTGATCTTACTTAAAAAATAAAAATAACAATTTCGTGACGTCTGTCATCCACATTTCTGCACTGACTTATTTCCTGATCAAATGACACATTATCTGAATTCTATGACTCGTCGCATAATCACAATCATTTTCAATAAATCTGTGCATTCCATTCGAACTAGGCCACTTCTCCCTGCAAATTCCAGCTCACACCACAGCTTCCAGTGGGTTTTCTGTAATTAACTCCACCCTGGTTCCTTGGACCCAATTACTGTAATTTGGGTATTTTCCACAACGGTATGATTTCCGTTGATTTTACTCTGCCTACTTTTGCCAACTCGGTTATAGAGATACGGAGAGATCACGAATTCATGCGTCCAGAACGGGCTCTCGTGAAACGAGGCTGGCAATACCCTGTCAGCAGCACTAGGGACAGTAGGAGAGTCGAGGGCGGGCGTTCAGGTGCAGCGCGACCCCGGCGCGGCCTGGCAAACCCGGGGCCCGGGAGCTCCCCACCCGCCCGCGGCCGGCGCTCACTCACTGCACAGCGGGCGGCGGAAGCGCGGGGACAAAGTGATCCCCGGAGAGGCCTCCAAGCCCGGGCTCCCTTGGACGGCGGCCTGGACCGGGCCTTGTCCCGCAGAGCCCCGGGATTGGCTGGCCATGACAGCGGATGACGAGCCTCAGCCAATCAACACGGCTCTCGGCTTCCTTAAAGGGTCCGCACGCCTGAAAGAGGCCAGGTATGTCCTTCCGGAGCGAGGCTCCCTGGGACCGGAAGTGGGAGGAGCAGGTCAAAGCGGCAAATTCAAAACCGAAGCGACTCTGCTGTCGAATTTTGAGGGGAGGCAGAGAAAGCAGAATGGAAATTTCAACTAAAGGTCTCCTCCTCAACTATAAAATTGCCACCATCAAAGTGGCAAAAAAGTGAGACAGGAATTGAAAAAGAATAGACGGCCAGCGTTATTAATTCTTCCTTGCACAGAGCCATCTTTCTCCCCTACGGCTCCGAGAGATGTCCATTTCTTCTCACCCCAACAGCAGTTTCTATCTTGAGTGAGCCAAGTCTCTCTCCCAGCCTCACTGAGAGAGCTACTGGCAGTCTTTCCTTTGCTACCAAATGGCTTGGGAGAAGAGCATAGACTTCATCAGTCTCTGGCCTTGAGGAAGGTCCATGAAGAAGGTCCGTGCCTTAGCTGTGGCTGACCACCACATCAGGGGACAAGGCGCCTCACCTCCTCCAGGCTCAGCATGTGAGTGAACACCGTACCGCCCTCCTGGCCTTGTCTTGATCCATGTTCTCAGCACCAGCCCTCAGTATTCTAGAGCTTGGATCCCACACTCTAGGCACTATTTGCTGACTGGCTGGCAGGGGAAATCACAGTAGCATATCCGTTTCCAGTCGTGGGAGCGGGTGGGTTGCCAGGAGCAAAGCCATGTGGAGCTTTGACTATTTAAGGGAAGTTAACAACTGATACGAGAAGTAGGGAACAGCATGAGTGCATAGACTCTAACATTAACACACCTAGATTCAGTTTCCAGTGCTGTCACTGTCATCCTGTGGCTTTGTCACCTCTACAATAGGACTAAAGCCATCTAATTTTGTGGGTCGTTAGGACTAAATGAGATAATATATTTAGACACTTAGCACAGTGTCTGGCACATAGAGTTCAATAAACAGTAATGAACAGTGGGAAGCTGTTACTAACTCTAGGCCTGAAGAGACAAGGGGGAAGGAGCAGTTACTAAAACCAGGTGACAGCTGCAGCTGTGACTGTAGGAGAGGGTACCCAACAGAAGCCATGTTGTTCAGTACAGAAAAGTAGAAAAGTAGTCATCAATGCCAACCTTTGGTCAAGCAGGATGAGATCCTATAGTTGTAGCCACTGCTGGGACCTCAGCCCAAAGCAGAGACAGAATGGAGAAGAAAGACCCACGTCTGTCCTCCTATGCTCTGATATCCTGCTGGGGTCTTGCGTTGGCTGGATCCACCAGGGAGCCAGAAGACAAAGGAGCCATGTTGATACAGTCAATATTGGTCACCTCCCAGGCACAATGCCTGGAGGTGAAAATAGAAAATATCCAACCTTGGGTTTATTATGTTTGGAAGTTCTAGTTCAAGAGGGAAAAAATGCATCCACTAGAGGACCCAGAAATGGTTGTATTGAATTAGAAGCTGAAACTGCATTCTGGTCATTTTGATTCCTCATCATGATGGAATTGGAATGATTGATCCCAATTACAAAGGGAGGGCAAGGAGAACTATGCATGACTCCTCCTATGGTTTGAATGTTTGTCCTTCCAAAATTCATGTCCAAACATAATCCCCATCATAACAGTAGTAAGAGGATGGGAAGTTTGAGAATGGCACTTGAAAGGTGGGGCCTTCAAGAGGTGATTAGGTCACGAGGGCTTTGCCTCATCTGTCCTTTCCTTGTATCCATTCTCCTTCCTTCCCTGCCTTGTACTTGTACCCCAGAAGCTGACCTCTTTGGGAAGCATCACCTGGGCTCTCCTCAGTTGGTTTCCATTTTGGTTTGGACAGTAGAAGGCACTCATAGTAGATGGGAGGCAGGAGAAAAGAGACATCAGGGTATGTTTTCTTCATTCTTTCTCTGTTTTTGGCTGGAGATATGGTGGTGGCTGTGTTCCTCCACAACTGCAGCTCTTGACAAGTGGTCCCTCCTCCATGTTTCCAGCTCACTGGGCCCTGGAAATGCTTTCCTCTCTTGATCTATGTTCTACCGTCGCTAGACTGGATGCCTCAGCTTGATTGTTCTCTTAACCCAAACTTCATCCCTTTAAATTTGTCTTCATTAACATCTCTTTAATAGAACCAACTGAGTAAAATTGTGATTCCTGATGGAAACCCAATGGATACACTTTAAACTGTACACACACAATATAAATACTCTTGTATGTGTGATATTGTTCATAATTTTAAAATATAAGTGAAAAAAAAAGTGACCATGAGAATATATGCCCAGGGAATTAAGAAAATTCTTAGCATACATATTGAACACATTTTTATAGGATGTAGAGTAAAAGGATGTAAAGGAAATTTATTTCAATATCAAATGGCATATAACTTTAACTGGTATGTGGTTTCTTTCCAATTGTATGAATTGTGAGCATATGTATATATATTTTTACACACATATACGAATGTGCTTTTTATCATTTTTCATTACAGCATAAGGATTTTCATTACATACCATTCATATTTACCATTTTTAAAAGCTATATGATTTTCAGCAAGTGTGTATAAAATCTCCATTGCTGGATATTTCTGGGTTATTGCCATTGTCAATAACATAATGATGACCATCTTCATACATATAGATACCTTTTCTTATTAGAAATATTGGGTTAAGTAGTATAAACATTTTAGAGAGAATCGATTTAAAAATCCTCCACTCATTAAAAGCTTCCTACCCCGGTATGGTAAAATTGTTCAGTATTTCCCTGTACCTCCATAAAGTAGCAGTTTTTCAAAAAATAAAGATTTGAAAGTTCAAGATGTGCTTAGAGATATTTCCGTTTAACAGAGATGCTTTCATAAGGATGTGAATTTCCTCATTAATCTGGGAACCAGGTTTAGCCATGAACCTCGGCCTGTGAAAGACTGCAAGTAGTCACATAGTATGGGGCTGAGGCTAGAAGTTCTTTAATATTAAAACATTCCAGGATGGTGTTCCCCAAGAACTGAATTTTAACATTTCACTCCAATCCTGGGACAAGCCTGTAGCCTAGGCACAATCTGGACCAGCCAGTCATCACTGGAGCTTTGTACAAGCTTTGTTTGGACTTTGTCCCTTCCTCAACAGTGACACCATGA